ATGGCGGATGCTTGTCCAGTGAAGTGCAGCAGCTGGGGCTGCCCAAAAGTATGGGTTGTGGGTGGGCAGCTGGGCAGTCTGTGGGCCAAGGGCTGCTAGAGAGGGGGCCAGGCCCTGTGACCCTGTGGTGTTCCCTTCCCTGTCTGGGCCAGGAACCCAAGCCCAGCTCCCACCTGCTACCTCCAGAGCTCCTCCATTCTACCCCCAGAGCACATGGCCAGCCTGTGTCACTCTTATGAGGAGAAGCAGAGCCCCTTGCAGAAGCACTTGGGGTCTGCAACCTATGCAGTAAGTATGAGGCCAGCCAGGGTCCGCGCTCATTCTAGAAGGTGCACGTAGCATGCGAAGTACATGGAGAGTCCAGGGAGACGACTTAACCACGGTCACAAGCCGAGCAGCCGCAGAGCTGGGACCTGGCCCTGGGTCTCCTAACTCCACGGGCTGTGCGATGTGGACATACAGGATCAGACCTTGCCCTTTTCTCCTAGCTGACCCTTTCCTAGTCCCCCGTGCCCCATGTGTGAGCACCCAGCTCACTCTCGTTTCTCCCTCTCCAGAGTGTGGTCCCTGGCAGCACGAGTGGGAGAAGGGACAGCAGAGACTGTAGAACCCTCAGCTGCATCTAAGTCGTCTGTGTGGTCTAGCGGTGTGTGCTTGGGGAGGCTTTTGACCACCATTTTCCCCTCTGTAAATGACACTGATATCTGTGACATGGAGGGCGGGAGGCTGGTGTGAGTGCCAAGCACTTGGAGCAGGGCCCTGAGTGAGCATGGATGTGGGAGCAGGGGTGTTCCTCGACTTTATACATCTTGGGGGTGGGAGTAGGGCTCCCTGCATGGGTTGAAAAGGCATTGCTTTCCCCCACCCCACCTCTGTCCCAGCCCTGCAAGTCCAGTCATTGGGGGTCCAGGAGGGAAGAAGCCCCTGCCTGTGTGACCTTGGGCTGGTGCCTGGCCCTCTCTGGCTCTGAGTTCCTGGGAAAGTCAGCACCCAAGGAACGCCCTCCAGTTTAGCACCTTGACAAGAAGGGTGGGGACACTGGGATCAGGCCCACCCCTTTGGTCCCAAACCCCTTGGCCCCAGCTGGAGGATGACGATGTTTTATTGTCCTAAAAGTTAAAATGTACTGCTGCTAGTAATAGTACTAGTTTTCTAATTATAGTGATTTTACCCAAACTGTTGTTTGGTTTGTTTATATCCTCTAAAAAGGATGAAGAGTTCTTTATTTCAGCCAAGAGCTTGAATTGGCTTTTCACTAAACTATCAGTTTTGGTGGCACACCGAAGTGAATTTCTTTCCTTTGACAAGTCCTTGCAGGGAGTGGTGCTATAATCCCAAATTAAAAAATAATCTCTCCATATATTCAAATCCTACTAGCCTATTTTATCTTAAGTGGACGAAGACACTTAACCTCTAACCTCATCTGTAAAATGTAAATCATATCTAACTTGCATAAAATATTGATGTGAGGATTAAATGAAAAGTATCTAAAGTCTCTAGCATTGTGCTTGGCACTAAGTAATTTCAAATCTGTGTTCTCCTGTTCAGCATTCCCTTTTACTTTCATTGTTCTTTTTTGTGTTGTTTTTGTTTTTTTTTTTGTTTTTTTTTTGAGACGGAGTCTCTGGTCTCCCAGGCTGAGTGGTAGTTGGTGCCGATCTTGGCTAACTGCGACCTCAGCAACCCCGGTTTCAAGATTCTCCTGTCTGAGCCTCCGGAGTAGCTGGGACTAACACATGCACACGCCACATACCGGCTAATTTAATTTTAGGTGGATGAGGTTCACCCTATTGGTCGGCTGGTTCAAATCTCCTGACTTAGGTGATCCACCCACCTCCCTCCCAAAGTGACGGGAACTTACAGATGTGACCACTGTGCTTGCCTCCCACAACCCTTCTTGTTTTTTTTGAGACTGAGTCTTGCTCTGTGGCCAGGTGGAATGCAGTGGCCTGATTCAGCCTCACTGCAACTCTGGCATTCCCCAGTGTCAGGTGATTCTCATGCCTCAGCCTCCCAAGTGGCTGGGACCACAGGTGTGGATCCCCACTCTCGGCTAATGTTTGTATTTTTAGTAGAGACAAGGTTTCATCATGTTGGTCAGCCTTCAGGTGATCACCTGCTTCAGCCTTCCAAAGTGCTGGGGTTACAGGCGTGAGCTACCACGCCTGGCCCACATTGTTCTTTTTAAAAGAACTTCACTACAGGTGCTCCAATGCAGGCTAGATTACTTTTATAGTTGAATACTTTATGTTTTAAGTTTCATACAAGAAAATTTACACTGGAGCATACAGTTCTCTGAGTTTTGATAAATGCCTCAAGTTGTATAAGCACCACGATAGTTAACTTACAGAACAGTTTTCCCTCACCATCACCCCTCAGATTTCTTTCTACCCCATTGTTTAGTCAGACCCTCCCCCACCCTTAATATTTGGCAGCTCTGGATTTGTACCCTATCCTTACTTATTTCTATTTATTTTCACTCATTCAAGACAGGGTCTTCCTCTTTCACCCAGGCTGAAATGCAGTGATGCGATCATAGGTCACTACAGCCTTGCGCTCCTGGGCTCAAGGGATCCT